CTCCTTCCCCCCGCCCCCTCTACCCCTAGCGTTCCCCAGCAGCCCAGCGTCCCCCCCGCCATCACCCATGCCGCACCCCTCCGCCTCGACAGTTTTATTTTCGCGCCGCACCACCACCTCCTCCGCCCAGCGTTCCCCAGCAGCCCAGTGTTCCCCAGTAGCGCAGTGTTCCCCAGCAGACCAGTCCCATCCGCCAAGTGCCCCCCTCCGCCCCGGCCCTCCGCCCCGACCATTCTATTTTCGCGTCGCACCGCACTAATTCAGCCCCGCCCCCCCCTCCAGCGCTCGCCAGCAGCCCAGAGTTCCTCCCTGCAGCCCAGCGTTCCCCAGCAGCCCAGTGCCTTCATCGCCCAGCCCCTCCGCTCCGACAGTTTCATTTTCGCTTTGCACCGCCCCCCACCCCCGGCGATCCCCAGCAGCCGCGTGGTTCCCCGCAGCCCAATGTCCTGTAACAGCCCAGTGCCCTCTGCGCCCCGTGCCCTCCCCGCCCCGTGCCCTCTCCGCCCGGGCAATGTTATGTTCGCGTTGCACTGCCCCCTCCCCTCAGCGTGCCACGGCGGCCAGGCTTTCCCTCGCAGCCCAGCGCCCCCCAGCAGCCCAGTGCCCTCTCCGCCCCGACCCGCCCGTGCTGGGAGGGCACGATCCTTGTCGAATGGTACAGTCCGGGCAACTCGCGCGCGTCGGCCTCGCGCGCACGCGTCCTTCCAAAACCTTGATAGCGACGCGAGGACATCGTCATCGTCATCCGCGTGATCAGCATCGGCGCCGTCATTGGCCTTGCCGTCGTCATCGTCACCATCGTCACCATCATCGCTACTATCATCATCATGTCTACCGTTGCCGACGTCGCCATGTTACCGCGGCCGCCAATATCACCGATTTGCACTAAAGTGCCCGCTGGAAAGTGCCCAGCGGTCAGCGCCACCGCGGCCGCGTCGGTCGCGCCAAACTAGCTGGCCGCTGTGCGCGCGAGCATGCGCGAGCTAGCGTGGCCGCAGAGATGCAACAGCCAACACCAAGCGCTCAGCGCAATCGCCGCCGCATGGGTAATGCAAACCCAGATGCGGGCAGGTAGGTGGAATGATTGCGCGAGCAATCGGGTTCGCAAGTCCAGGCTTTGCAGAATTAATTGCGCCACCTACCTTGCATCACTAACCTTATGTCACATAACTTGCACCACATATCTTGGACCACGCAGACTGCATGACACAGCTTGCACCACAGGGCTGGCACCACACAGCTTACACCACTTAGTTTTACCGCATGCTTTACACGTTCACCGTGCAATATCTTAGCGTTTGGTGTCCACGATGGCTAATATGGGTTCGTATACTTTGTTGAGCTGGGCGGGGGCATGACGTGTCGAGCAGTGCCAACCCTGCTTGCTAGGGGAATTGGGGCATCATGCTCCTCCTGCTCCTTCGCCTCCTCCTCCTCTTCCTCCTCTTTTGGCGCTACTACTCCCCGACAGCGCCCTCTCTTCAAAGGCGGCGAGGTTGAACGAGCGTTTTGGATGGAATTGAGGGCTTCGTCTTCGAGAATTGAGGGAAATTGCATCTCCTCCTCGGTGGAAGGTCGGCGGAAGCCAGCGGATGTGAAACGAAGCATCGGCGGCTCAAAGGATCCGTTTGCCTCCGACAGGGAGGGGGGTCGCAAGTCCCCCCCTGGCTGCGACCCACGCGCGCGCCCTGCCAGTTCTGCCATGTGCGATGCCTGTGGCACAGCGGGGCGTTGAGTGTCGCTACGAAGCCGGCGAGGTGAGCGTTCGGAGGGCGCCCGACCTCCGAGGACGGCGTGCAGGCGTCCCTTGACGACAAGCGCAGGCTGGAAGCAGGACTCATGGGCGGCAAACGGGCTTGGAGACGTGCGGCGAGGCTCGCGATGGTGGCAGGGTGCAGTTGGTATCGAAGCTAGTCGCTGACGCGCCCCATGGTTGCCTACCATTCTAAGCATGATGTCACGTCCTTCCCGATGGTCACCGACGTTTCCTCCAGCCCGCCGCGACCACCCACACCCAGACCATGAAGACGGAAACCAACCTGCAACATGAATGTATGGAGCTACAACACAGAATCACTGGTATGCATCGACCGCGTGGGAGACTTGTTAAGACGCGCGAGTGAGCAGCATATCGCTATAGTATGTTTTCAAAGTACCCTCATGGGAACTACCATGTCTTGGACCGGCGCGGGCTTTCGCGTCTACCCAACCCCGGCGACATTTTCACGTGCTAAGGACGGCTGCTTGACGGCGCTGAATCTAGATTTGCTCGACCCGCTGGAGGTCCGATGCGTCCATGAATTGCTACCAGGCAGGCTCCCAGGAATACGCGTGGACTCAATATTGTGAACGGCTACGCGCCGACCAACACAGCGAGCGGTCATGCGGCGCCAGCTGGCAAAAACGCAAGCCGAACACAGACAAGCACAGGCCCTTGTTGTTGGCAGACTTGTGGGGACATTATACGGAGAGTGCCTCAGGGATCATCATTGATTTGGTGCCTAGATGCTAATAGTACTGTGGCACCCGAGCTTCCTAACGTTGGCAATGCGGGCGTTGACAGACAACCGAGAACCACAAACTTGAACGGCAGCCACTTCCTTTCCATTCTTCAGAACGGAATGACAGCGTTGAACATTCATGGCGGTCGAAAGAAAAACGCGGGGACTCGGCTGCACACTGACGGCACGACATGGAACGAAATTGATTAGATTTGCACCAGATTGCAAGGATGTTACGGACACGGAACTCGAGTTTTTACATTCTCTCTGCCCGTTAGCATGGGGGGATTTCGCGACCAAAACCCCATTGAGGGCACAATACCAGTAAACTTCCGATGTAAGCGCCTTCGGCGAAACCCACCTGTCAGAGATAGAACCGCGACGATATGCCCCAAGATCTCAAAGCTGTTCAGCATCCCGACGGTGTACCAGCAAGGGTGCAAGATCTCCGCAGACGGCTCCGCCATGAACTACGAACCCGTGCAATCGAAGGACACTGGCAGCAGGAGTGTGGCATCAATCAACGCTATACCTCGGCATCCAGCTTTTACATTTCTGTGGAAGGAGCAGTTGCTGACGCCGCTTACCCGCTCTATGCTGATCTCCCAAAGTTGGCCTCACAGAAGAGCCTCGCTGTCGCTACCTTGGAGTTGGTTAAACGCAAGCAGTACTTTCAGAGAATACTACCCAACATCGTCGACCGCAGCTCGTGGCTATACAGATCTATATCATCGCAGTTTCAGCCGGCGGCAAAGTGGGCAACGCAGGCAGTGCGATCGGAGAAGCGACGGCACATTGCGGCCCTGATTGCCGATGCCGAGCGGGCCGATGCAGCGCGTGATATCTGACGCTGCTACTCGATCGTCAAGCGCCTCGCGCATGAGCCCCGCATGCCCATGCTGACCGTCCGCAACCCAGCCACGGGCTACCCGTGCTTCGACGATGACGAGGGCCAACAGGTCCGCACCGATGCCCTCTGCGCCATCTTTGAGGCCACTGGGCTGCCCATGCATGAGGACGGGGGCCCCCGGGACATCCCCGAGGAGCCCGACGTGGAAATCGTGGGCCAGTGCGACGTGGGTGATATCACTATGGCCCTCAGCAGGCCCCCCAACGTCAAGAGTGCCACCGTGCTGAAGTGGACGGACCCCTTGATCCCCAATGGGCCTCGACAGGATCCCGAAGGTGCTGTAGCTGAACTCTGGAAGTTAGGAGGTGATCTTGTAGGGGGCCCTCTTCTTCGAGTCTTTCAGGCCGCCCCAGCTTTCCGCCGCGCCCCACAAAGGATTACAAATGGGGAGGCGGTTTCACTGCGAAAACCTAAATGGCATGGGAGGAATGCCAAGGATCACAACAGGGCGATCAATCTTATTGGCCACGGCGGCAATGCTTTCGCCAACGTGGTCATCGTGCCTGAGCTGCGCGCAATGTCATGCCGGCTTTAGGCCAGTCAGTTTGGGGCCCTTCAAGGTCGATCGACCCGAGGCGCCATTGTTTCTGTCGACGAGATCGTTCATCGTTTTCGGGGCAGCCCTTGTCGCGCCAAGACCAACTATCGCATCTGGATTGCAGCGTTGATCGACCTTGAGAAGGCCTTCGACCTCTTGTATCGAAGTCAATTTTGGGAGGCCCTAGATCAGCTGGCGCTCTCCCGTGGCACCCGTCTGGTTACAGAAGAGCTCTACACTGGGGCCTGCTATATTCGCCGAGATGCCCGAACTAACAGACCCTGTGGGCAACTACTTATACGCGAAGGAGTACGGCAAGGCAGTGTTGAAGGGGCCAAGGCTCGTTATCTCTATCCACGACCTCATCACGAAGGACATGGGCTCGAAGGCGTAGGAGGAGGGTTTCCAGGTCGCCCAGGCGCAGTGCGACCCCCATTTCCAGGTCTTCAGGAATTCGGTCGGTTTCATGGCTATCGAGTTGAGGTCGTTAGATGCGCCCCAGGTCAAGTTCGTAGAATGTTTCATCGCGCTGACGGTGGTCGACGACTTAACAACCGTCTCCAAGTTTCCAGAGCTTGCGGCTTGACCATGCATGCCCCGAAATGCGATCAAATGGCGAGTGTTGCGGGGAAGGGGTGCCGGAGGGTAAGGGAGAACATCAGTACTGAGCAGACTGGCACTAGCTTGACCCACGCCGACGGCCGGGCTCGTGCGATCCACCCGACGCCGATTGTAAAGTACCCTGGCTGTTCGCTTCTCGGCGACGGGCTCGTGCTCGGCTGAGGTCAAGGCCCGCCTGATTTCCGCCGACCTAGCCCCCGGCCGGCTGTCCCAGATGGTGCTGCAGGGGGACCTCGGCGCGCGTTTAAAGATACGATCGTGGAATTCACTAGCACGGCCCATCGCCCCGTATGCATTAGAAGTCGCCTTCCTCGCGAAGACGGATTTGAAGAAACTCGAACGCTGGCAAACCTAGAAACTTCGACGTATTCTTCGTTCCCCCGCTCACCTTCACCATGTCTCTAATGCAGATATCAGCCGTCGTGCCAAAGTTTATAGCATGAGCTCTACTTGACTTCATCGTAGGCTGCAGTGGTGGCGACATGCGGTTGCTCCTGGGTTCCAACCAGAATCCTTAGAGGATGGCCCCACCGAGGCTGTGCGCGCTATACTATTCGACAGACTATCGTTCGAGGACCCCCACAGTCGAAATCGCGATTGTCGATTGAGGCAGCTTCTCGCAGAACTTCGTGCGTTGCAGGCCTGTCTTCCTGCGGAGAGCCAGTTGCGCGCCGCGAGTGATTCGCCGAGTGTTTCACGGGATTGGCTGGAGTGGCTGGACATGCTCTCACGTGCAGAGCTTATGGCCGTCCTCTCGCGCGAAGCTGAGAGCGGCCAACTCCGCGAAGCTGGAAACATTGATGAAGCGCATCGCCTCGTCTGCTCAGACTGTGGGCAAATACGTCATGGCCAGAAAGGGCTAGAGACTCACAGGTTTGCGGCCCATGGCGTCGCGGCTACTCATTTGGATATCCCCGAAGACGACATGAGAGCTAAGTGATGCCCCCTCTGCAGTGCTACGTTTTCTCGTGAGGATGTCCTTCTTCGCCATGTCCAGCGCCGTTGCCCTCGGCGCGCTGGCTCTCAGCACGCTCCCAGGCCACCTGCGGCGCCACCGCCGCCGCCGCCGCCCCCCATCGGCACCCCCATCCAGATGTCCGGGCCTTCGGCGGACATCATCAAGAAGAGGTGCGCGGCCAAGGCCGAGGTCGGCGAGGGCGGAGCCGAGCCCGGGGAAGCGGAGCCGACAGGCGTCTCGCGGAAGGACAAGCTCATGACGAAGTTGCTGCTCCAGCACGAGGACAACTTCAGGGGCTCGGCGCGCGACCGGAACGCGGTGGTGAAGCTGAAGACGGGCTCCCAGATGCAGCTGGCGCTCGCGGCGGGCATCCAGAACTACCAGAGGGTCGAGAAGGAGGCGCGCGCCGCGGTCGAGCCCACCGAGCATCGCGGCCACCCGCGCGGGAAGAAGCCCGACGCGCACCTCCGCATGTTGCTGTTCCGCCTGAGCGAGGCGATCGAGGGCAGGTTCGAAGACGTCCGCGCAGCTGTGGCCATAGGGCCGCGCTCAGCCGAGCTGAAGGAGGCGCTGCGCCTGGCGGTCGAATTCGGCAAGAGTTTGAACGACAAGGAAGTGAAGCTCACAGCGACCCGCTGCTTCGACGTTCGGACGAAGACAGACGTCGAGGGCAAGACAGTGGAAGAAACCAAGTGGGCATTCGCTGCTATGTCGCATCCCCCACTCACGCAGGCCATGTGCTGCCTGAAGGGGGGCGGCGGCCCGCAGTCGGCGAACGCGGTGCTCGAGGGCGACTCCGCCCCGAGGAGCAAGGCCGCGAAGGAGCTCGGGGGGGCGGTGTTCAAGGGCGGCGGCAGCGACGGCGGCGGCGGCAAGGGGGGCCCCAAGCGGCTCAACAAGAAGCGAGCGCCTCTGCTGAGGTCTCCAGAGGGCCCCGTGGATTAGATCGTTTTTTTGTTGTTCCTTTTCTTTCTGGTCTGGAACTTTTGGGCCCCTGGAGCGGCGGTGGGCCCATGTAATCCTTGGCCTCGCGCGAGAATGAGGAAGCTAGGTAACTTTTGGGTTGAGGGCCTGCCGCGGGGCTAGAGGGTCTTGCAGCGGCCGCTCTCGAAGTGCCATCCCCTTAGAGGAGGGGGTGCTTGGGGGCGGGGCCCGGCGGGCGGTGGGCCAACGTTCCCTGCCTTCCCTGCCTCTGCGCCCCCTCGAGTGAATTATGCTGCGCCGAGGTTTCGGCAGTTCTTGATTGGGCCAGTCGCAAGACATCCAGGGTGACACTTAGAGGGCGTAGCGCTGGCAGAAGGAAGTGGGACGTCGGCGGCTACGACGGCAGAAGCCGGCGGAAGGCCGGCGGGCGCCGGCGGAATAAGCAAATACGCCCCCAAGAGATGGCAACATTTCAGTGCTCAGGGCTTCCAGAATCGGCTATATTCAGTTATCTTGACTGCAGTTTGGAACCATCCAGAGGCGTGGCACCCCTTGATCCGCGCCCCTGGCGCGCTCTCGCCCGCTCTTGGGGCGCCTTCGGGCCCGGTGAAGTCCGCGCGCCGCTAATGGCAGTCTCGCGCGCGCGGACTGCAATCCGACCTGAGCTACCTGCGCGGGGAAAGATTGAAAGAGCGAGATGCAAGCGTTCGCGCAGATCCGGGCAACACTCCTTCCCGGCCAAGACGGCCCAAGTTGGCTCCACAAGCGGCCAAGAAGCGCCCAAGAGCGCCCAAGGAAGCCCCAAGAAGGCACGCGATATCCCAAGACGGCCCCAGAGGGCCCCATAATGGGCCAAGAGCGTTCCAAGAGGGCTCAAGTTGGCTTCAAGAAGGCCAGGGAGTCCACAAGACGGCCCAAGGGGCCCCAAGAGGGTGTAAAGCTGCAGTTTGTGTCGAAGGGCTGATTGTCCGTAAGGGCTTCGCCCCTTGCCGCCGGCCCCCTCTCTCGGATAATGGGCAATGCAGGAGCGAAATATTGAGGCTTTGGTGCCGCCGTGAAGCAGCGTCGGGGCTTCGCGCGAAGACGGTGAGTAATCGGCAAGGCAAATTGACATTATGATGCTATTGTTGAATTCGGTGTTGCATTTCGAACGTTTATGGTTTCGGGTACGCGAATAGCGCGTAAATTGCGAATGTGTATGGTCTCGGGCTCGTGAGCGTAACGTAGTTTACGCAGGTGTATGGCTTCGGAGACGCAAGTATTGCATAATCTACGAGGGTGTATGGCTTCGGACATGCGATTATTGTATAATTTACTAGTGTGTCTGGCTTCGGGGACGCAAATATTGTGTCATCTACGCACTGGTACGGTTTCGGAGACGCGAATATAGTTCAATGCGTGTGAAGGTTGATGGCTTCGGGGACGCGAATATTGTATGATTTGCAAACGTTTGTGACCTCGGGGACGCAAGTCTTTGCATAGCTTGCGAGGCTTTATGGCTTCGGGGGCACGAGTATGGCGTATTTTGTGAAGGCTTATGGTTTCGGGGATGTGGACACAGCGTAATTTACGAAGGTTTATGGCCTCGGGGGCGCGAGTCTTGTGTAATGTACGAAGGTCGATGGCCTCGGGCGCGCGAAGTTCATGTATTTTTATGAGTCCCGCGCCACCCCAGTAATTCAGAGCACCCGACCCGGGCGTGGTAACTAGGTTCCATTTTCGGGTCCCCCCCCCTCTCGCGCGGTCCATCAACAAGGAACAGCAAGCAGCAAAAAACATAATTGTACCAGTGGAAAATGGAAACTGGAACTGGCGCGGGGAACAGCAAACCATGGTCCTACAGCCTGGTGGCCCCACAAAAGGGGCCCGCGGATTTGTCTGTCCAGTGGGTGCGATGCCCTTCGTCAGAGGCGCCCCCCCGCGGTGCTCGGGGTTCCTTGGCGTTGCTTGGCAATGGCGGCCCGTGGCGTTGCTCCGGGTTCCTCAGGGTATGCCAAGCACTGCCATGTAATGCGACGCCAAGCAGCCCCAAGCAATGTGAAGCAACGCCCAGCGATGCCAAGCACTGGCAAGCAATGCCAAGGCATGCGAAACAATGCAAAGCAATGCCAGGCAGCGCCGCGTAATGACAAGCAGCGCAGTGTTAAGCAACGCCAAGCAATGCCAAGCGACGCCAAGCACTGTCGAGCAAGCAGTGCCAAACACTGCCAAGTAATATCCAGCTGCCTGCGGCAAGTCCCGCCATCGTGCCAGCCCAGCATTTTGTATGGCGATTGTTCGTGGGGCCGCGGGAGACTGGCACGCATGACACCTCGTGCCTGCGGCTTTGGGAGAGCCGTGGTGAGGATGACGATGATGATGACGAGGATGAGAAGGAGGAGGAGGAGGAGGAGGAGGAGGAGGAGGAGGAGGAGGACGAGGAGGAGGAGGAGGAGGAAGAAGAACAGGAGGAGAAGGAGCAGGAGGAGGGGGGGGAAGAGGAAGACCGTCATATGTCACCCCCTTTCGTCTTCACATTTGCAGGAGCTTTTACGGAGCTCATTCGGCCTCCTGTGGGGCAGTCTTTGAGGTATCTTGGGGCCGTCTTGGGGTTCTCTTGGACCATCTTGGAGCCCTTTTGGGCCGTCTTCGGGCTCTCTTGGGCCGTCTTGGGGCCCTCTTGGCCGTATGGGGGGGTGTCTGGGGGCCGTTGTGGGTCCGTGTTGGGCCGTCGAAAAGATCTCGTAAACGACTCAGGATGCTTCCAAGACGGCCCAAGAGGGTCCTAGGAGGACCTCCAATAGGCATTCAAAATGCCAGGTTTGTTGATTTTCGCATGGTTTTCTGGTGCTCTACAGTTTCGCAGCCTCTCGGCACCAAGTGTTCCACGAGCGGACGGTGCTGTAGCCATCTAGGGCATCTTCCCACACTGCTCTTGATCCGTGTCCGGACTCGGCCTGGTGACCGAAGCAGCGTTAGCGAATGAGCTTTAGCTCCACTTGGGGGGGATCCGGGTGGGGAGAGGCTGTCTGAATTACGTGTCGGGGTTTTGCGGAGAGCCTTGTATGTGGAGGGGTTCCAGGCGAGGGGGGGAGGCCCCGACAGTCTTCTGGGCCCCCAAAGCGGCCAAGGGGCACCCCAGGACGGCCCAAGGGGCGCGGAGACGGCCCCCTTTGTCCTTGTCGCCCCTCAGGGCCCTCGGAGCTCGAAGCGATCGTGAGAGCCACCATGGCAAGGCGTACAGCAAGGGTAGTGCGTTCACGCGGCTCCTTTTCACCACCTACCAAACCACCCCAACCCGACCCGAAGGCCCACATTTACCTTCGATTTCCAGTGTGGGGGGGTCGGGGAACATGAAACAACTCACATGTGGAACCCGTACCCTCCCAACTCGAAATTTGGGTCTTCGGGTTCGGTTGGGGTGGTCTGGTAGGTAGTCACCTTCCTTTGGCCCTCATTTCCCACCGTCTGTCCTCGGCCTGCCCCTGGTCTTTCTTCCCTTCTCGGCGGCGCGCCTGCGTGGGGGGGAAAGGCAGAGGGGGCGGGCCTTCTCAAAGCGCTCAGAAGGCCTCCCTTCTGAGAACCTTTCCAAACCTTCTCAGTGAAGACACAGACGGCTTCTCAGAAGGCGGGACGGCTCCTGAGAAGCCCCACCGCTTTCTGAGAAGGCCTGATCCCTCTCACTTCCCCCCTCGGCGCGCCGCCATGTTCGAATGGGTGTACATCGGCCTGCCCCCCCCCCGGTCCCGAAGGAGATGGTGCCGCAGAGGTGCTTCAGACGGTGCAGGCCGGCCAGCAGGTCGTCCAGGGAGGGGTGCCGTATTTCGTCATCGGGCCGGCGGAGGACATGTTGGGACCGAGGCTTCCCTCGGGGGCGGCCAAGGGGGGGGGAGATGACAGGGGTGGGGAGAGATGGGGCTGGGGCAATTATGCTTCGCCAGATTTCATGCCCCCCTCTTCTCATTTCAATGCGTCCCTTGGCCCCCCCTGGGCCGCGCACGTGCCTCGGACCATGATTTGCGAATCCCCTCTTAGACTCTCTCCTCTTGGACGCCCCCCCGCCTTGATTTGTCATTCCGACATGGTTTTCTCGATTTCGGGCTGGGGCCCGTTTCGGGCCCGAGGGAATGCCAAGAGCTCAGAACGACTCGGCATGAAGCTGGGGAAGGAGTGGAGAAGTCTGGGGACAGGGTTCCGAACAAATCAGGACGTCGTGTGTCCCTCATCCTCCCCTTTAGAGGAGGAGGAGGAGGAGGAGGAGGAGGAGGAGGAGGAGGAGGAGGAGGAGGAGGAGGAGGAGGAGGAGGAGGACGAGAGGAGGAGGAGGGAGGAGGAGGAGGAGGAGGAGGAGGGAGGAGGAGGAAGGATGAGGAGGTGGAGGAAGGATGAGGAGGAATAATGCGAGAATTAAGAGGACCTCTGCCACCGTGTGGACACGTCCACGGCCCCAACGGCTCACAGTCTCGAGGCGTCCAAGTCATTCCCGACCGCGCTCCGTCGTGAGGCAGCCCAGCCGCTGCTGCGCGCTCGGGCCCAGTGTTTTGCTGATAGCCTCAGGGTGGCACTGTCCAGCCGTTAGGCGGACTCGTCGACTTCGTTTTTGTTTCTGCCTCCGCCACGACGGAATCATCTGATTGGGAGGTGTCCCAAAGATACACCGTAGGCGATGCTTAAGAAAACTTGAATGTTCGGCCAGAGTCTCGATTATTCTTAACGTTTCAAGGTAAATCCCAAGATTTTAATAGAATTGTTGGGTTTTTATTCAAGTTCTGAGACTATGAATTTCTTAACCCATGATTTCTTAAGCATTTCGCAGGGTGTACGCCCCTTGCTTTCGCACTTCCTCGCTTCCAGTATCGAAAGTGTGCTTCGTCACAGGGCCGGCCACGTGCCAAAAATTCACCTCCGGCGCGTCCCGCCCGCAGCCCGACCGGCGCCTGCACCTGCTTCGGCTCGCTTGCGCCCGCTGAAGTGAGTTTCGTCCCAGGTCCGACCTGCCTGCTTCGTCCTCCCTCCTCCGACTCTCAGGAGGGGAAAAAACACACACAGACACAATTGATCGTCGATTCCCCAGACAATATGGGAACCTCTGGGGAGTGGGGGGGAAGACAAAATGCTGGAAAAGATGGGAACATGTGGGGAATCCTCTTTTTCCTGTGTACTTACTTGTGTGCCCCAGGGGCCCCCTCCGACTTGGCCCACCGGCCGCGTCCCGCGCCTTCCGCGGGCTGCCGCCGCCGAGACCCATGGGGAGGTCCCGCCGCGCCGGGAGTCGATGGCGCGGGCGGCCGTCGGACGGCCCGACCCACTCGCCCGCAGCCTCGAGGCCCCCAGGAGGAGGTATCATCATCACCCTCCATCGCAGCATTGCCATCACCATCCCCAACAGCATCAAATCCATCATCATCATCATCATCATCATCATCAGCAGCAGCAGCAGCAGCATCCGCATCTCCTCATTCACCACCCGCCGCTTTCCATCATCAGCCTCAGCATCAGCATCGTCACTGGCCATCCTTCATCATTCATCACCCATCTCACGTAGCCAACAAGACACCGTTCACTAACCACCATGCATCATCTTTCCCCATTCGCCGTCATTACCACCACCATCGCCACCGTTCATCATCACCACCATCATGATCACAAGCATCATCATGAACATCACCAGCATTATCATCACCATCGTCGTCATCCTCAGCATCAGCATCATCATCATCCGCAGCATCATAATAATCACCACCATCATGACCATCAGCATTAGCATCAGCATCAGCATCAGCATTAGCATTAGCGTCATCATCATCATCATCATCATCATCATCATCATCATCATCAGCATCATCATCATCATCGTCATCATCAGCATCATCATCATCATCGTCATCATCAGCAGCAGCAGCGGTTGCCCCGCTGGTACGGTCAATCATCATCTTCAACAGTGCGGGTCCCTTGCCCCCTGCGTCCATGGCGGGGGTGGGTAGGATCGTTTCCGCCGGGGCTGTGCCTTTCGCGCTCGGCCCTTGGGTGGGTAGCGCTTTCTGCCCTGGGGCGGACACCGCCCAGATTCTGATGGCCGCTGCCTCCTCGGACCGCTGGGGAGCACCGTCGCCAGCCCCCGATGACTGTGCCCAGGGCACCCCAAGGCAGCGCAGGATTCCAACGGGGCCCCCCCGTGCGCCAAGTGGCCACACGAAGGCGGGGGCTTTCAAGACCCACTCCAGGAACACTGCCCGCCCACGGGTCAAAAACACGTCGTCGTCAGCCCCCTCCCCTCTCCTGCCGCCTGGCGCGTGCCACGCCCTCCCGCAGCCGCAGCCGCGCCCCGGCGGTGCAGCCACGGCCTCCCCTGAGGACGACGGCTCGCAGCAGAGCAGGTGCCCTTTGCTGGGCCTCCAGATGTCAGGAGGGGAAAAAACACACAGACACAATTAATCGTCGACTCCCAGGAAAATATGGGAAAATATGGGAATTGGGCGGGAAGACAAAACCCAGAAAATATAGGAAAATATGGTGAATCTTTTTATTTGTGTGTATTTATTTGTGTGTCCTGGGGCCCCTTCAAGATGGGGCCGGAGTGGACGTTTTCTGGGGCCCCGACGTTTCGGGCAGAGGCGCGCACAGTGTGGGCCCTCACCTCCAGGGGCGATGTCACGACGGTCCAGGCCTCCCGGATGGGGTCGGAGCAGATGGGGTCGGAGGATCGCGCCGCATCGCCGATGCATCGGCGATACGGCTCGATGTAAAGCCCGATTTCCTCTCCGACGACGTCGCCGATGCATCGGCGATGCATCGGCGATGCGGCGCGATCCTGCTAGCCCGGCCAGCCGGGCCCCATCTGGGAGACCTCTAGGTACGCCTTCTCCGGGGCGCTCGAGACCGAGCAATTCCTGGAGATCTTCAGGGACGCGACCGCGAGCTAAGCGGCCGGGCGTTGCTGCTCCCGTCCTCCACCTCCCGCTCCCTCTCCCCCTGGACTCTCCGAAGTCGTTTGGCTCATTCTGGAGCCAGGGTGCAGTAAAGCGTTCGGCGCGGTGCATCTCAATTCCGTGCATTTCCCGCTGTGAGTTTCCGAATGTGAGCGATGCGTAGCTTGAGGGCGACCGAGTGAGAGCGAGTCCGAGTTGGGAGCGGTCGTTCCTGCTACTCCTCGCCGCCGCCTGCTGTTCCGCTCGCTGCTGTGCTATGCCGCCCTCCTCCTCAGCAGAAGAAGAGCTTGCTTTTGGGTTGCAGCGTGGGCGAATGCACAGCGCGGTCGGGGCGGCAGACTGATCTCGTGGACGAAGACACGCTGATCTCCGACAATAGCTACGCCATGTGGGATGTTCCCGCTGTTTGGGCGCGAATGGGCTCGCGGACTATTTCTGGTTGACTCCCTCTTGGGAGATTCAAACGCCACACTTGCTTCTCCATCGCGGTGGTCATGGGGTTCTGAAAAGAGGCGCGCCCACAGCGGCTAGCGCTTCACAAGGGACGTCCCCACAGCCTGGGCGCGAACGGGCCGGGCCCGTGGAACACGCCCGGTCGGCACCCCGTTGGGAGGCCCAAGTGTCATGCCTGCTACGTGGCCGTTGTCATGGAAGTCAAAAATGATTTGATATGTGCATGGTGGTTCTGAGTATCGGTACATCTGTGTATGATTTGGTGCGAGTGTGGGTGGCTAAGTGTGGGTGGTCCAGAGTGCGCGTGAGTCTGAGTATGCGTCAGTCTGGGTGTGAATGGCATTAGTACAAGTGGTCTGCGTGTATGAATGTGGTATGATTTAGCTGACCATGAGGGTCCATGAGTGCTGAGGTCTGATTGTGAGTGAGACTATGTACACGTGAGTCTGAGCGTGAATCAGAAGGGGTCCGGGTGTCAATGGGTCCGAGTCCGAGTGAGTCAGAGTATGAGTCTGTGTCTGTGTGTGTGCCAGCATGGGGGGCAATAGAGAGATGAGGCGGGAGGTGTGGAGGTGGAGGTATGAGACAAACAACAAGAGCCCCAACATGTAGATTTTGCAAGTTCGTGCAACCTCAGCATGAGAGATCTTTGTTTACTGCTCCTGCTCCCGCTCCATATGATCCTGGTCTTGCTCTTCGCCATAATCCTGCTCCATCGCCCTCCTGCTCCTGATCCTCCTCCCTCTCCATCTGCTCACGCAGTTGACCCTCCAGATGCGCGTTATGCTTTTTTGTTCTGCTGGGTTGCAGAAGTAGGCAGTGTGACTTGAAAATGGCCCCACGCACTTTCGTCGCCGTCCCGCTCCTCGTCCTCACCCTCCTTCGCCTGCTCCTGCTCCCAATGATGCTGCTGCGCCTTTTCATCATGCTTTCCAGCTCGTCTTCCTGCTCCTCGTCCGTCGTGCTGCTGGGCATCCTCCTCCTTCCCTCTGTGCCCCCAGCTGCTGCTCGGATCGAGCAAGATAAGGCAGCTAGACCCTGACCCACTTAGTAGCAGATGACTCGTCAGGGAATGCACTGATGTTGCTGCTGGTGGCCTGCATGGCCGCAGGGGCATGCTTGCAGCTACGATTGGAGAAGTGTTCTCGAGAACTGGGGGGAGGTGCTGAGACGGCTGACGACCATGAGCGTTATCTTCCGCACACATGGAGGTTTGGCCACTTCAACCCTCTCTCCGCCGCCCGCCGCGAACGCCAGGAAGACATCGACCTCTGCTGCCGCTCCTTCGACGCCGTGGGAGTGGTAGGAACTGGATCAAGGGCCGACCTTCGAGTCCAGCAGCGCCGTATGGGAGAGAGATGGCACGTGGAGGGAGGATGGGCAAAAGGCAAACACACAAACAAGACGGCGGGCATCTACTTCAGTTGCGGTTGCAAAATCAAACAGAAACACTTACGACAGATATGGGTTCCTGGACCAGAGTTAGCAGGACGGGGATTAGCTGTTCGGGTAAGTTCAAAAATGTACGACTTCACATTCCTGGGACTGTATTTCCCGCCCAGGGTCAAGACGAAGGCAGAAGCTCCAAAATACGACAGGTGTGTACGAGATCTGCACGATTGGGCTGCACAGATTCTGGGCAAAACACCATCAAGAAGTATACCTATCCTTTGCATGGACCTCAATGACGGAATGGGACGCACCCCAGACCCCGAACATCGAGAAATTGAAACGCCGGTGATTAGCCACATGGGCTCGAGACCTGAACACCTTGCGGGTCAGCTCGTGCGTGCTCTCCTTGAAGCACACCACCTTCACGCAGTCTCAGCACACTACGGACAAAGTACATGGTACGGAGACAAAGGAGAGAGTTTGATTGATTATCTTTGTGTCCCACAGAGCCTGGCCGCCGACGGAACGCTGACATCTGGTACGCTGAGTACTCTGTCGCGGCAACTGCAATTAATCAACACCAAGGCTCGCAGGGACCATATGTTCTTACATGTCAAGTTCAGAGTGCCAACCTGGAGGCACATACACGAGCAGACACAGCAGCGTATCCAATGGAATCGAGATGTTATGATGGAAGCGTTTCATGGATCCCCGATCAGAGATGAATACATATTGGCAGTGGAGGCACGACTACAAGAAGAGGAGGAGGTACTCACGTCTTTCGCTGGAAAGACATTACCTGACAGCTATGGCTCGCAACTTGAGGGCATCATGATAGAAGAAGCTGAACAGTTTTTCACCAAAGAGAATACACGAGACGAGAGATATCAAGCGCTGCAACAGCATCGGAGAGAGTTACTACGCCGACGGCACACACTGCGACTTCAGCTGGGGGCCCTGGACGACGTGAAGGACGGCGCGCAGGACTGGGACCCCATTGCTGCCGCCCTGCTGTCTACGAGCCCCTCAACCCAGGAGATCTTGCCACGCGACAGGGTTAGCCACTGGGGGCTCCCTGCCTCGCGTGGCACGCAGCAAAGATTCGACTGGGGGGAGTCGGGAGGCCATGACATGCGGGGTGGCGGCACATGTGCAACACAGAGGTTGTCTTCTTCGTCGACGGAGCCGACGTATGAGGAGATGGTGGCTGAAGCAGAACGTGCCAACGCGATCGGATATGAAGCAGAACAGGTTTCTCAGGAGCTACGTGCACTATCCCGCCATATGCGACGTGAGAGAATTTTGGAGTGGAAGGAGTTTCAGGCCCGAACTGTGGATGAGTTGTGGGAAAGCTGGCGCAAGCGACATTTACGAGATGTGTATCGACTGGCAAGGAGAGCGGCAGGAGCAAAATACGGGACCAAACGTCGACCTTTCCTCGCCGCTCAAGTCGCACCACCTGCAGAAGAACAATGGCTTTCGCAACTACAACGGCCTGGCTCTGAAGGCGGGATGTCAGCACAAAAGATTGAGTCATGGATACGTTGGGCCCGCGCCAGGACCCCGATCACACCTGAGGACACCTGCCCCCTGAATGAGGCCCAGCGTTTGAAAGCTAAGCGCGATGTTTTTCGACTCGAGCGCTGGGCCCTGCGAGCCCCAAAAAGGAAAGCGGTCCCTTCGTGGGCTGCGCCAGTTGAACTTTTAGCGATTTTGTTGGTCCCTCCCACGGTGGCTTCTTATCGTAGCAGAGGGCTAGGTGCCTCAGAACCAGAATTAGAAGCGCCTCTTTTCAGGAAGCATTTAGAGGATTTCTGTTTGAGAATTCGTACAGGCTTGAGGACCCCTGTATACTGGCACGCCAGCATGGGGGTGTCGTGGGCCAAGAAATCTGATGGCACTGTGTTTGGGGAGACGGCGTCGGGGCTCCGAACTATTCACCTTCTTTCTCCTCTTGGCAAGGGCTGGTATTCCACCCACTCGGAGTCGCCCGAAATGCCCCCCCAGGTGCACGGTTTTTTGTCCCACCGATGCAAGGAGAATGCCATCGCGAATGTCCTAATCATGATGTGGCGCGCTCGACGCGCTGGCCGCACAGGACTTGTGCAGTTGCATGACCTCACGAATGCCTTTGCAAGTGTCAACTGGCCTGACATGAGGGCCGCAGCAGTTGAGCTGATGGAGGGCGGTCTTGCGAGATTAGGCTGCCAGCGTTTCGAGGAAGCATCAGTCACCCTCCCATGCGCCGAAGGTTCCCGTTTCTTCCAGCCAGGATGTGGAGGTTTCATGGGAGACCCTTATGTGGTTCGCCAATTCGTTGAAGCCTTTCAGACGGCTATCAGGGAGTGGGGGGGGCTGCTTGAGGCGCGGGGGGTGGGAACGGACGAACTTGTGGCACGACGCCCCTTCATAGACAGGGCGGTGGACACATCTTTAAGCCTGTATGCTGATGATATACTGAAGTTTTTTCTGGCGGGACCCCACCAGGGATTGCAGGAGCTCGCTGCGGTCAGCGAGAGAGCCAATTTTCTCCTGGATCGGGCCCTGGCCGAAATCGGGTGCAAACAGAATATGACTAAGCAGGAAATCTTGCCTGTTCTCTCTGGAGTAGGTGCGGGGTCAGAGGCACGAGCCCTGAGGACTGGAAGAGTCAACCTCCCTGCCCCTCCTAAGACTAATGCTAGATATTTAGGGGCCCGTGTGGGCGCCAATTGTAGTTATGCTGTTGAGTTTGAGTTTCGCAAGAAGGCCGTGGCGGCCGCCTATTATTCCCTCGGAAGTTTTTGGTCATTGAAACACACCCCGTACAGAATCAAACGCACGCTTTTAATATGTTGTCTACGTATGCTCGGATAAGCAGTACACAGAACCCGACCATCTTGTTGCACGATATGCTCGTCGCGCTATGCAAGGCAAAGCACATGAGCAGATTGAGACCCATGACGGTACGATACAACATCGTTCGAAGAGTGCATCTCAGGTCCTGGAGTACTGGAACATGGCTCCTGCTAAGCTTGAGATGCGGGTGCGCCGCCTGAAGAGGATCCAGACTATCCTCGGACACCAGCGGAGAAACGGCCAGATACTCACCTCCCTCTTCGGTCACTTCCCTTTCGAGATAGATCCGACGATCGAGGAGAGCGAGTTGCGGGACGATGCGAACCCATGGGCGAAACAGATGCGAGACGACATTCTGCAGGGTGTAGGAGGACTCGATGATGAGGGAGGGTTCTTGGGCAGTCAAATTCGCACGGGATGGCTGGACTTATTCACGGATGACGAAATGAAACATGAGTTTTTGATGCAGGATTTCACGGTGTTACGAAGAGGGATTTATATGAGCGCTATTCCGCCCCCTGGATGGTCCCCTGCTCAACGACCACCTCCTGAACCCGCACGCCCCAGTATTTATGCAGACACTACTCAATGGACATGTGGGTATCGGAATGAGACGGGGACAGTATGCACATGCACGTTTACTACATACAAGGGGGTCACACAGCACAGGATGGCCAAGCACGGTATGAGGGATATATGGACACGCGCGGTCAGCACGAATGTGCGCCCCTATTGCCTGGTCACATTTAGCTGCGTGAAGACGGCCCAGAGACATTTACTCGCTACAGTTTCTCGTGGAGGCCGATGTAATGACCAGTCGAGGTTTTTCGGAGGACGAATGCATCCAGACAGAGTGGACTGCCACCTCTGTGATCATAGGGCTCAAACGTTTGAAGAGCTACAGGAGCACATCAGAACACACCTGCCTCCTCTGGACTGTCTGGCGGACACAGCTGCTCAGCGGGGCCATGGCTCTCAAGTTCGGCGACCCCACGTGGGGCCTGAAGAGGGCAGGAGAAGGAGGCGACGCCAAGGGCCAGAAGAAGACCCGCCTCCTCTCGGACCTGCTGGGCGGCGACGCGAAGGAGGTCAATACCGTGAGCAAATTACTGATCGTGCTTACCAAGCTGGCGCTCACCAACGCCGCAGAAATTCGAGAAATCACGGGGATGCTTTGGGTCACGCTCCTCATCAGCGCCGACTCCCCAGTGGTCAAGTCCATGATGCAGCAAGGCAGGGACTACCACGAGACCGCGAAGTCGCTGAAGGACGACCCCGTGAAGCAGGAGGAGCTCGGCCCGCCCTTCATCCACATCTTCGCGGCCATGCTCCGCGGGCTGGGCGAGTACGAAGACATCGAGAAGCGCGACGCCGAGATCCTCACCCAGTTCTATATGGAGAAGATCGCGGGGGCACAATGCAAGGCGGGCGACCTGCTGGGCAAAGTGCTATATTGCAAATGCAAGATGGCCAAGCAGAAGCAAGGCAAATCAGAGATGACCAAAATATCCCTCGCGATGCACCAGAGCTACGACGAGCTGCAGAGTGTGTGCGTCCGCATATTGCTTGCCCACCAGGCGATCCAGAAACGCGGCCCGCCCCCGCGCGGCCCACTCGAGAGGGCCGCCCAGAGCCTGCTCGAGGAGCTCGAGGCAGGGTCCTCCAAGAAGGGGAAGGGCGGCAAGAAGGAGTAGAGATCGGACGGCCCAAAGTGAGATTGACGCACGTCCAGAGAGTACAGATAGCGACGGCTTCAGAGAGATTGTTGGAATTGGTGGAGAGAGGGTACGTTCCAGTTGAAGCAGCTATCAGACAGGCAGTGAACACAGCAACGGTGATTCAGCCACCACGAGCCCGACCGAAGAAAGGAGGGAGGGGGACGGGAAGTGCTCCAAGCAACCCTGAGGCCCAACACCCTCCGCCTAGTTCTTGAACTTTTTTCTAGCTTCTGTGCCCTCGTTCACCCTCGAACTTTGCTCCTGGCCCTCGGCGTTTTTTCCTCGGTGCTTTCCCTCTGTGTGTCGGGCCTCGGTGGCTCGGTCTTCTGGTTTTCGCCCCTGGGCGTTCGAGGGTGGACAAACA